TTTTTACTCCGCGGGACGCTTAACCGAAACGCGGTTAATTAACGCGCGTTTTCATCCTAAATGAGGTCGCGTGTTTTTCGGTAATTTCGCGGGAAATAACAATTTGCGACGCCTCGCAGTTTTTATCAGGCTTATGCGCAATCCATTTACTTGCAGTGCTTAATATAAAGGAAGGAAAAAAACCTGGCACCGAGTCACTCCAGCGGCTAACAATAAAACGTCAAGTGTGAGCGCTAAATCTGAGACCTTATTTTTTTTTTAAAGAAATTTTTAACTTTGAATTTATCTCAACACACGAGACATATTTAGCGCGGAAGACGCGTCACGAACGGGAGCGGCGATAATTTATGAAATTTATTATTGTATAGAGATATCAAGATCCAGAGATAAGAAAATTATATCGCAAGAAACCTTGTTGCATAAAAGTTGTTGCATTACGCGTTCTGCCTATTTTTGTCTGCCGGTGCGCAGCCAAAGATAACACGCAAGCTGCGTGTAAACTACCAATTGTGAAATATGTGTCTCGTAGTCATTGAAGCGAGTAATAATTGGAAAACATGTCGCCCTTTCTATCCAGCTCTCTTTCGGTTTCTCCGTGGCCATTATTATCACAAAGCGACCCAACAGCTTCGACGCATTAGTGTCGCACAGGCATGTGACCGCAAAAGCAGCGAACAGACCCAACCACCATTATAAATGCATTAACTCTCCCCTCAGTTTCGCCCTCTCCTTCTTACCTTGCCATTTTTTCGCCTCTGCTTGTTCCAGCTGGACGTTTTTAATATTCGTCTTCGGCGAATCGCGTTTATCGCTCTTCGACTCGCTAATCGTCGAGGTTTCCACCGTTGCTCGGAAGATGCCAGCAAACACACGGGTGATTTGGATTCAACTTCCAGAGTATATGCCGAAGTTGTAGAAGATCTGCAAAGTAGAAAATGACATTAACGTTAGAAATAATCATTATTCTCTCTCACTCGGAATATTCGTGTGCTCGTTAAAAAATAACCCGCGCCCTCGTAACACTCGTGATACCCGTTGAACGCCTCCTGTCGCGCAACGACTGTTCGCGTAAATCGCCCCGAAATTTCTAAGCAACGTGTCACTTTGACACCCGACAACTACGACGACGGGGAAAACGTCGCTCGCAGCGATACGATCGATTTTCAGAAGTTTGTCGCCGGAAGGAAGAAGACGGGAATTTTTTCACCACCTCTCGAGAGCCGTACGATCATTAGGATAAAGAAACGCGGTGGAAACGATCGTTACACTTTTCTCGCCGCTCTCGAGAACCCCCCCCCCCTCCTTTCCTTCTCCTCGTCCTCTCTTCGTTTCATTCGAGCGAGATCAAGCAGCCCCTCGAGCACCTCAGGAGCGATAAATCAATGACTCTTCTTCTCTCTCCCTCTTTCTTCCTGTCTCTCCCCTCGAGTTTCCCCCTCCGGTTACTTCCGGCCCCCCTAGCTCCTAGCCGGCGGCTGTAAAAAGCCAACGGGCAATTAAGGGTGTTTTAGAGTGGCTGCACTCGAAAATCACCGACCAACCCCAGCCCAAAAGTGGGGGAATTAAAAAACATTACTCATCATATAATCGCGCGAGCGGTTCTCGGCGCTGTCTGTCACCGTCACTCCACTTTCGCCGTCTCTCTCTCATCCTCGCGCTCGGACACGCTCGTCCTTCTTGCGCCTCCGACGTGCCGGCAGAAAAATGAGAAATGATCGTGGCTCGATTCAGAGGTGCCTGTTTAAAATTCATGAACGATTTTACTGCGACCTCCCCTATCGCAGCCCGTCACAAAAGGGCGAGCAGAGCCATATCGAGAGAGAGAGAAAGAGAGAGAGAGAGGAGGGAGAGAGAGAGAGAGAAGTGGAAAAGAG